TTTAAGCACCCAAGTGATTAGACTGGGACACCTGGGCATCCAGGACAGTCTCCCCATCTCAGGGTCCTTGATTTTAATCACAGCTCCAAGCCCCTCTGGCTCTGATGGAATATCTTGGTGGGGGCTCTGCACTGGACCTAGTAAGTATAGCATCGGGTTTTGAACACGCAGCAGCCGTCAGCTCAGTCGGTCTTGGTTGTGAGGATCATTCTGTTTACATTTCTGTTTCCCTCTTAAGTTGCGTGAAAAAAGGGCCAAAATGTTTCTTATAATAGGGATTTCTGCTTCTGATATGTTGCTGGAAATGATAGGTCTCCTGATGAAGCCAGTTTTTGCTGTTTCATGGGAAACCAGTGAGTTCATTCCACACAGCCAGGAAGGTTGTTGCCTCAGTGAGTTATCACAGCCATGGATTCCAGGGAGTCAGACATGGGCAGCTTGGCAGCCATTATTCTGCCCATCGCAACCACACCCAACACCTGGTTTCTTCCCCCGACTCTGGTTGCCCCACACTGGACGGCTCAACTAGTCCACGGGAGCCTCTGAGCATCCTTCCTGCTTTTGGGGGGCAGGAAGGGAGACTCAGCTGAATGTGACTGAGGGTGTTCAGTCCGGGCTGAGTTGGGTGGGCTAAGAAGTAAAGTAAGGAAATGCAGCCCAACTTTGAGCTAAAACACAGGGCACCTGTCAGAGAACCATGAGCAAAGAAAAGGATTTCATTTTGAAAGGAAGAACAACCAATATTTTGCTTTATTCTATAGCTTGTTTTCCAGTGTTGGTACCCTGGGGTTGATTACAAAGTTCAGAAGAACATGTACAATTCTGTTCCATTTGTACTGAAACTGGGGATGAAGACATTATATTGAAGGTCCGGAGGGCATTCAGCACCCGTGGATCCAGGCAGCAGCTAAAATGTAACCTGCTTGGCTTCACCATTCTGTTTGCTTGAGTTCACCAAATAGCTACTTGTCTGGCCATTCTTTCATCTAGCCTCTTAGTGTTCCCATTGGTCTTAAGCGCAACCACAAGGCTGTTGGCTGCTTAATTCTAAAATGAGACCACGTGTGCAAAATGAGGGCTTGGTCCTTGGCCTTTTCTTCAACAGGGCCTCAGTCCTCAGTTTGGTGGAAAACTTCAGTCATCAGGAGCTCTCTTGGCAGAGAAGCAAAATCTCTGAAGTCAATTTGGTTTCACATTTCAGAGATTAACCCAAGATTTAATATCTGTCCTCTCCCTAGTGGTCAAGCATTAGCTGTGTATTCTGAGGGAAGTCACTCAACCTCTCTGGGTCTGCATCGAATGTGGACTCTCTTACTGGAGGTACGTGATGACTGTGGAAGGAACGCTGCGGTTGCTGAAAGGTAACCCGATCTTGGGTTCCAAGCCTCTGCCTGTGCAGAGGGGATGTGGGAGACGGAGAAGGTGGGCACCACCCGGGCTGAAGAGCTTCCCCTGGCCTGGACCGGAAGTAGGAACCCAGCCAGTGAAAGGGGAAGTTACAGAAAGGGGCAGAAGCCATGAGCCTGGCAGGGGATGTGCTGGGCCACTGGGGGGAAGGCCAGCGAGGACAAGCAGAGAGCCGAGGAGATGCAGGGAAGAAGGAGGGAGGGGCCCAGTGACCCGCCAATCCTGTGACATCACCCTCCTTTCGCCTGCCTGCCTGGGCTGGTTTCCGGTCTCCTGTACCGGAAGTATCTTAGGGACCAGCAGGCGAAACAAGCTCTGCATTTTGTGCATCAGGCCAATGTTCTGCTTCTCGTTATTTTTATTTCTTATTTATTTGCCTTCTATTTCCTGTTCATAGTATGAGGCTTCTAAATCCCAAATTCAAAAGTCTAAGTTCTGCCTCAGCTCTACGGAAAACCAGGCGAAAGAATGTTCTGGGGGAATCTTTCACGTGTACCCAGGGCAGCGCCCCCGGAGTCAGAGGCCCGAGAGGAGGAATAGGGAGCTCCAAGTCCTCCCGCCTCCGCCGGCTCCTTCCCAGCCTACGCCTCGCCTTGGGAGCTTGTTCTCGGCGGGGTGGGCGTTTCTTTTAGAGCCCGTTTCCTTACTGTAACATGAGGTGGATGCATGAGGTGTCTAGGGCCCCACTGCGCTGCGATTCTGAGAGAAGGGGGCTGATCCCCAGTGACGGGTCGTGACGTAGGTACTAGAATCCAGTGAGACCCCAAAGGACCAGGAACGGGACCAGATTCCCAGCCAGCCAAGCACTGGTGAGCCCTCTTCCAGAAACACTGACCTCAGCTCTGCGTCGACCTCTGCCCCTCCCCATTCCCTGCCCCACACCCTCCCCCTCTGGAGAAAGAATGGACGGGAGAGCCGGAGCAGAAATAAAAGCATTCTCAGCTTTTACTTCTGGGTGCGTGGATTTCCCCTTCGGCCTCATTTCACCCTCCGAGTGCTTTTCCCCAGCTGATTTTGTTCCCCCGACGGACGTCTAACCTCGGTGCCGCCATTGTTTCATTGCTCGTCACTCACCCACCTATTCAGAGCCCGAGGCTGGAAGGGAGAGGAAGCGCTTCCAAGTGGGTTCGCCCGGTGTTCATTGATTGGCTGTCTTCTTAGCACAGCCAGTCACTGAATTCCAGAACATGGGGCTGGCAGAGCCCTAATAAATCACCCGCTCCGCCTGACGCGGACTTCACCGACGGCAGCTCTTACATGGAGAAGCTGAGTGATTTGCCTCAGGTCACCCAGTGGCGCAAAGGCTAGAATTCAAGATGTCCTGTCACCCTTGTGCTTTCCACCCCACCCTGAGGCCGAAGACCATGATAGGCTTGTGTGAGCAGAAAGTGAAGGAAAACAGACACATTTCCCTTGAGGGCTTTAAATTAATAAGGACCCTGGGTGGAAAAAAGGATAAACAGCAAAGGTATTTTTAGAAAGTGACATTGAAAAGCGTGGAGGTAAACTCTTCCCTGTAAATGGTGATGACGTTAAGAACACAGTGGGAGAAAATGTTATTTTGAGAGGAAGGAGCCTTTATTGAATTGTTTTTCCTACCCTGCTACATTTATTCTTTAATCCGTGTTCCCATCAGCACACCAAACAGTCTGCCTGCCATTTTTCTTTTCCTTGACATATTTATCACCTTATTTTCATATTATCCTATAAACTTTGGTATACACAGCTTTTAAAGCAGCTATTTTTAATGCAAGATGACACACCAAGCTTTAAATCCCTCAATAAACTGACCAGGGACAGCTGCACTAAAACACTTATATTTCCTCCCCAGAGAAGCCTGCTATTCATTTGCTATCTTTAAAAAAGAAAAACAGGAATGAAAATGGGTTGACGTGTTGAAAAACAAGAAAACAATGGCCAAAACCACGTATTTTCCTACTTCAAGATAAAATGTCCAGAACATCTGACACTGAGAATTAACATTTGTAGCAAGTGGTTATTTTTATATATTTGACTCTGACTGTATACAAGTGCCACTTAACTCAGCGATTTTTCTTCACAGAAATAGAAGGTGGTGCTATATATGTTATTGGAATTTAATTCTAAAAATACAAATGTTATAGGTTCTTGTGAAAGCAAAACATTTTTATTCCTTTGGAGATCTCAAAACTAAATATCCTAGTGTCTTTGACATAATCACATTGGTTAAAATGCTGCTCTAAATGTTTGAAGGGTTTGGAGACCTCCTGGCTGTTGTCAGGTTTTTTTTTTTAAACTTGTCACGAGGCACAAATAAGCTGTGACTGCGGCTTCTGAGCAAGAGGTACCAAGGCCTAAGTTAGTTTCCAAGGCCAAGGCTGAGCTACAGATCTGGGGGATGAAGGGGGAAGGTTGTGTCTGAGATCCTTTGTGGAAAGTGAGACAGTTATCCTGCCCTTCATGGTTCTTGATCAAAAGGCCACATATTATTTGAGATTTGAGCTTGTTTGCTCTTTTGATTACTTATTTCCAGTTGATATCTGTAAATCTGCTTTAAAGAGAAATCTATTGCATGTGAAACAAGATTGATTTATTATCCCCAATAAGAGAAAAGTTGAGGGTGGACATCAGTATGAGCCCTCAATTTCTATCCTATGTAGAAGAGTAGAATGAATTGGGGATAGTCAGCTAGGTGACTGCTGGGGGCCATTGCACCCCCCTCCCCCACCTCCTGCAGTGCTCCCCATTGCCAGCTGAGCTTTCCCACCACCACTGCAGAGGCCTCAGGTTATTGGGAGAAAGGAGAAAGTTCAACCTAGAGGACCATGATTTCTGGGCATCTCACCTATAAGTGAGACCTCTGTTACAGAGTTTTTGGTCTTCCCAGCTAGTGGTAAAGAGCCCGCCTGCCAATGAAGGAGATATAAGAGAACCTGGATTCAATCTCTGGGTTGGGAAGATCCCCTGGAGGAGGGCATGGCTACCCACTTCAGTCTTCTTGCCTGGAGAATCCACTGGACAGAGGAGCCTGGCGGGCTATAGTCCATGCGGTCACAGAGCGTTGGACACGACTGAAATGACTTAGCACACACACACCTCTAGGGTAACACAGGAGCCCCTCAAACTAACACTCGAGGAGTCAGGGTTGAGAGGGAAATTGCCTGAGAGAGAAGTGAAGGCCTTAGCCCAAGGCCACACAGCCTGCTATTGGCTAACCGAAAACTTGAACCCAGCTCTCTTAATCCCCAAACAAATATTCTCTCTACCAATCAGGAGTGCAAACACCATTTACTTTCAAGTGTTGATTAACCTGTCCCTCCTTCTGGAGGCCTCAGATTTCTTCACTGGCATCTGGATTGCTTCAGTTTCTCTCATCTACATCTGTATCAGGGAAGAGAATGAATCTGCTGTGCTCTAGATGTATGGATATTTTTCTTTTCTGGCACAAAATGAAACGAGGGTCATGCCCTGGTTTCTTTCAGTTTCTCTCATCTACATCTGTATCAGGGAAGAGAATGAATCTGCTGTGCTCTAGATGTATGGATATTTTTCTTTTCTGGCACAAAATGAAACAAGGGTCATGCCCTGGTTTCCGAATTCAGAGCCACACTTACCCGTACTGAACGACACCCATCAGAGGACCGGCGGGGCCGATGTCAAGAGTCTGGGCGACATCAGTCAGAAACTGCTTCTGGATTCGGAATCGACGTTTGCCGATGCTCGAGCTCCCATCAATTAAAAATGACAAGTCAACTTTGCAGCCTGAGAAGCGGAAAAGGACTCTGTTATTCGGCTGCTCTCTCGTTGCGCTCACCGCCCACTCCCCTCTTCCTCAGCCAGAGCTGCCTGAGACTGCAATGAAAAGAGAGTTAGAAAAAAAATGTAGCAAGATGCAAGATATACTTATTTATTTATATTCACAGCAGATTTCCACTGGGCGCCAAGATCACAGATACTTGGGCTGGTACTTATCTCCATGGTTGTTGTAGAATTCTCTGTATTAGCCACGGTTACATACTTCAAAAGCCAGACCTCCCAGTCAAGTCTAAGAAGGCCCTCAGAATGGTTTCCTAGCTCAGACCATGTCAGCTGTTGTGTTCAGTTGCTAAGTTGTATTGATCACTTTGCAACTCCTTTGGAGCCCGCCAGGCTCCTCTGTCCATGGGATTCTCCAGGCAAGAATACTGGAGTGGCATTATCAGAGAAATGCAAATCAAAACCACAATGAGGTACCATTACACGCCAGTCAGGATGGCTGCTATCCAAAAGTCTACAAGCAATAAATGCTGGAGAGGGTGTGGAGAAAAGGGAACCCTCTTACACTGTTGGTGGGAATGCAAA